CCTCACAATACAGAACACAATGGCAACTATGCCCGAACCTCCGGTATCAGTCAATAGAGTGCAGCACTCTTCGAAGGAGTTCGCAACAATTTGTCACTGCAATGGTATCACGCGAATGTTTAGGTTGCACGAATTCCCCATACATTCAAATAGCCACTGAAAAAACGTGACGCATACTAGGAATCTGCATATTGTATCGTATCATGCCGCTGACATGCTGCCGTTTGGTCACACTGAAACACGCTCCTCCGCTTTTGGATCTACCACTCGCAATTTTTGATTCACATTACTGTGGTTACACTAATCCAACTCGGATTTACCGGCGCTGTCCAGTGGATCTGCCACGGCAGCAATATTTAGCACACATCATCGATACATTCGTCGCTGCAATTTCAGCAGGCATTTTTACCGATATCCAGGTGCGATTCAACCATCTTTTCAAGTGCATCCCATTATTCGTACTATCATTCGATAGAGCGCTTTTACGCTATTCTATGATTTTGCCACGAGAAGCCAACACTTCGTTTGGTAGCTGCAGCTTGTTTAGCAGCCAGTATTCTAACACTCGCCAAACTAGTGTCTATTCTAACACACCCGTCAAAATGCAACATTCCACCATGTCACGTACGCGAATGACTTCAATCCGTTTACTCAGCCGTGCGTGGATTGGTTACCACACAAAACAGCCAGCCAATCATCAGACACACACACCCGGTCTCGCAACGCGAGTTCCGTGAGTCTTGTACCTTCCTCAATTGATTGATAAACCTTCTGCTGTTTAGACGTCTTTTGCTTGCTGGGATTACGTGTCTCGGAAGCGTGCGTTACATGCTTAGTGGTACTACGTATTAGTGGCGACGAAAATGACGAACCCAATGTTGCTAGAAAGTGTTTCACGAATGAACCGTCACTGTTCTAAATCGTGCTTTCCGGTCTCTTGAACATCGTTAGAAGGACGTTGTGGCACGCCATGTATGAAGTTTGTGTTTAGGCGGTCTTGCGTGCTGTGCCCCTCTTCGGTGTTTCGTTTTGGTTGTCGCGCGCTCCAAGGAACATCAGGAGGGATACGGATCCCACAGGATTCGTGTTTTAGCGCGCTTGCGGAGAGCAAAACATTTTCCACGTCGGTGGAGGATTCTAGAATTACTCGAATAAGTCTGGGTTCACCATAGTGTGGCGAGTTCGGATGACGAGTAATTCGCAACAAGTTTATGGGCTTGGATTTGATACTCATCTGCATACACAATGAGTTCCATTGGTCTTGGTAGTCTTATAACTTATCCCGCAATGTGATGGCGGTAGATTCAGGGACATTTGAGCATACAACAGTCCGGGCACTGTTGTTGGATCCCATATTAATCGATCCACAAGTTATGGTACTCATTGGTCTTGATTAGTTGACAGGCGATTGCTTGCTCTTTTTCTCTCCATTTGCGTTAACGGCGTTTACAATGGAGGACGCAACGGCGGCCTCTCGATGGACCCTTGCCGCAATCTCTGCATATGTAACCGGTGTTCTAGGAGGCTTAGTCTCGACAGGAGATATTTGAGCTACAGGTACAAAGGGTTGGTGTTTGGCTGCTCCATCCTTGTTAATACAAGATGTCAGGTCTAGTGGAGTTTGCTTAACCAGACGTTTCGAATGGTGCCTGATTTTCTTTGCTGTGAGTACTGCTTGATTCACGTAGGTACAGTCTGTTTTCGCCCGGCGTTCTACCAAAGTTGGAGAAGGCAACGGAGATGGAGACATGGCTGATTGCGGTGCAGGGGAAGCGATTTTTTCAGCATTCCGTTGCTTAGCAGCCGCTACGCTTCTGTGGTCCATACTCGCTCCCATTGAAGTAATCTTATTGTTTATCCTCTGCTCTGCTTCTGCGATTAACCGGTCGCATTTCTCAGCTAGGATAAGCAAGCACTTAACGAAGGGGATGGTGGAACACGCAGTACAGAACCAAAATGCATCTTGGGAGCTATTTCGCTCCCGTAACTGTTGTTAGGACACATTCGCACATTTCGTATGGTACCATTCCAAACAGTGCGGACAAGCTAGACCGATTTTTACTACCGGTGACATTCACCTAACCCGCAAATGCTTTTCGATGGGAGTCTCTTCGGTTTCGCCTTTCTGCCATTCAATTTGGTGTCGTTACCTGACCCAGTGGGTTGGTTAGCGTTCTGTACTTTTACAGCTTTGAGAGCGGCGCACATCGGTCAGGCGAGCGTGGTGGTCGCAAGGTCAAATGAGCGGTCGGCTTGGTCGCGCGGTCCGTGTGATGGGTAATGCAGCCGCACTGGCTGACAAGGTCACAAGGAATGGCGAGTGACTGCAACCTGAACAGAGCGCTGAACACAGATCTTTCACAGCTGTGTTGAGAAACACTAGATCGGATTAAGCTTAGGCTTTCGGCCTGCCTCGAGAATTCTGTATCAAATGGTCACACAGAATGGCAATCGGCTCAATACGATTGAATTAAACGCTTGCGCTTAATCACAGATGCCAGTGAAAACGCTTAGTGATGGCACAGCCTCTAATCGTAGAAGATATTTCCACGTATGATGGTGCGGCGGATCCTCCAAGAGTCACATAGGGAGGTGGGACACGCGGCAAAACTGAAAATAGGGCAAACGACAAGATTGCTTTTTTGGTGGCCGCAACAACGTCGAGAAATAGCGAAATTCTGTAACGCATGCCATGTGTACAACTGCTTTCTGCAACCGCAAACGATGCGCAGGGTCCTCTGCAGTCAGTGGCGGGTGCATATCCTCAGGAAACCTTAGGTGTGGACGCAATTGGACCCTTACCTTAAACGCAGCGTGTGAATAGAGGTGTACTTGTTTTGGTCACTTACTTCACCAAATGGTGTGACGCTGTACCAACTTCGCACATTGACGCCAGTTCCACAGCTCAGCTTTTGTTTGACCACTGGATTTCACGCTAGGGGCACCCGAGCAAATTCATTCAGTTCGTGGTGCGATATTTGAAATCTTGATAGTGTCTAAGCGTTGCCGAATACTAGGCATCCGGAAGCCTGGGAAACTAGTCTACCAACCATAAGGCATAGGCTAAGTAGAGCGCAAAAATCGGGCGCTTTAGGCGCCTTTAACCGCAACCACAGAGGAGCACCACGGCCGCGATATTGCTGTCGCAATTCGACGGTGCCTCCTGGCCTAGCGTTGCTGCTTTCCCTCATCTACTTACGACACACCACCCTCCATTATAACTGGGCGCGAAATGAGATTACCGATTCATGTGACTATACTATCCACGGCTGCTGATTCGCTGCTTGTCACAGGCTACGCCATTCGTCTACCTCGGGACCTGGCAAGAGCTTACTTGTTTGCGCGAAAGCCCTTAGGAGCTGCTTGTCCATGTCAAAATAATTACTATGACCAGAGGGTGTACGGCATTTTGCTTCAGTTTGAACAACGAGTCTACCTCCAACTTCAAATCCATCTCTGGGCGTTTCGTCGAAGCTGCACAAGGAGTGGCCTGGCCCATTCGTGGTCGAGGAAGTATATACTGATTTTACCTGTTGAATCTACAGAAAAGGTGATGACACCGACCGTTCAGTGGTTGTCAATATCAATCATGTTTACGCGACAACTCACCGTACGTATACGCTTAGTCGTCTCAGCGCCCAGAAACATACACAGACCCAACAGCTGCGCTAAAAGAAGTGGAAGTGACGACCACAAAGCCCCACGTTTCGACCACTAACTAAGGCAAACTGATTCTCGAATACATCTTCCCAGCTGCGCAGCCTATCACGAAGGCCGAATGCGATATGACTGAGAAGTCCAAGGCCATGGCTCTAAAGGCGTGCCAAAGCTTCGGTGCCGATCTTATCATCTCCGGCTCCAGCGATGAAGCCGCTTCTCGCTTGGTTACCGTCATCGTCGCGGCGATTTCAGCTACACTCGACATATCCAAAGAGGAGAGGTTTGAAGCGAGTTACAGTAGTGCTTTCATCTGCAATTTGAAAGTTCGACACGTGGTTACGGATGGGAATTGTACAATTCGGGAAGACTCCATGTCGGTCGGATCTAGCCCTATATGCGCGCGTGGTTAATGACTGCAATCGGCTTCCGGAGCTCGTCGTTGATGTGCAGTCCGAGGAAAGCTTCAAGAAAATGTTTGATTTTCACTTGATAACTGTGCCCGGACATTGCTTTACAACAAAGCTTTAAGGTTCATTGTGGAACCCAATTTTCACTATCACCCCGGAAGTGTCCGCAATGGCTGGAAAGCGACGGAACTGATAAAAGACTCTCCTTCTGCTCCCTACCATACAATGATACGATGAAAGCCACCTCTCAGAGAGGGTGGTAGTGTGTTGCCAACGCTCTGCCCATTTATGACCTTTGACTTCTTTCAGCTTGGCGGCCAGGGCAATTTAGCAAAAGAAGAAAAGACATTAAAAACATAATTTATTATTAGTACCGTAGTACGTCCTATTCGGGTGTGTGTACCGTTAACGCGCTTTGTTTGAATAACCTGTTTGACTTTTGTCAATCGCACGCTGCCGTGCCACGCTGTCTGTAGCCCTGACGTTATTCATGTTCTTTGACTACTGTCACGCTGGTTGCCGTCGGAATCAATTCTTCCGTGTTTTTTCAACAATTGACGATCTTTCGTGTCCCTCTGGATCATGGCACCCAACACTTTTTAACTGTTTGAATCTGCCAGCGTGACTTTTGACATGGCAGCGCGGGGAAGTGACCGTCACACAACACGCGAAATCTGGTGCGACAACAATTTTGAGCATACTAAAATGTGATAAAGTTACAATTAAAACCATCGAAGAACAAATTAAGCAACATGAGGCATTTCAAATTACATGAAAACTATGGTGGTTAACCGGGACAAAATGGTTAATTGGTAGCCGCGATACAACCACAAAAATAATACGCTTTGTAATTTATGTGATTCTGCTTAATTTAGTGTATTTTAATTACAATCTTTATTATCTTGTACACAGCCTTAATAGTCGTGTTACGTGAAGCTGTACCAGGAATCTCCGCGGTTTTGCTTTCTTGACGTGAGCCGGTCGGTTTTGTACTGTCGACATGCGTGCTGGTGCCGTTTTCTATGATTCTGATGCAGAGATAAAGCTGTTTGGTAAGTGGAGCGCAGACGATGTTGGCGTCAGCGATTTGAGTTTGACGGTAAGTCTATTACTTTCTTGATCATCAAGCTTTCAGGACCACATATCTGTGAAAGGGAAAGGGAACCCTATCCTTCCCCATACTGCTGGTCGGTATCAGGTCAAGCGCTTTCGCAAGGCCCAATGCCCATTGGTGGAGCGAGTTTGTTGTTCCTTAATGATGCACGGACGTAATAATGGGAAAAAAATGAAGGCGCTTAACATTGTAAAGCACACCTTCGAGATAATTCATCTACTCTCCGGCGAGGTGAGAAAAAGTGGATTGCCTGCTTTTCCTGTGATGATTCTTGTCTCGTTCGTATGACCTTTGATTACCATTTCCCTGAGTTTCCTGCTTTCAACGATTGCTTGCTTTATTTTCAGAACCCAATCCAAGTCTTGGTTAACGCTATCCTTAACAGTGGCGCCCGGGAGGACTCTACGCGCATTGGCCGCGGTGGCACCGTTCGTCGGCAAGCAGTGGATGTTTCCCCACTCAGACGTGTCAATCAGGCGATATATCTTCTTTGCACTGGGGCTCGGGAAGCTGCTTTTAGGAATGTCAAGACTATAGCTGAATGCTTTGCGGACGAGCTCCTAAACGCTGCCAAGGTACTTTGCTTAATGTTGATTTCCATTTTCTTCAGGGCAGCTCGAATTCCTATGCAATTAAAAAGAAGGATGAGTTGGAGCGAGTTGCCAAATCAAACCGCTGATGAATGTACAATACAGACGTTCCTCACAGGCGCTTGTTCTTTGAATTGGCGGTTTCACCTAAGGGTTGCAAAATTATAACTATTGTTTTCGGCATTTCACGCCTTTTTGAGCTTAAGCCCCATTCCGATAAGCGAACATTAGCATTTCAATCCTGATGCTCTCACTTACTCACTTTAACATACACGAGAGCTTTTTATCTTAAACGTCATGCGATTGTCCTGAACACAAGATAATTGGTGAACGACGAGGGATTTTGTTTGTATGGCCAAACTGTTTCGACTCCATGCTTCATTAGTCTAACAGGGTTTTATGAACGATGCTAAAGTACGAAACTATTTACTCTTCCTTCATATTTGCTCATTGCATCAAACACTTCTAAGCTCAGTAACCGCTAATATAGTCGCTATGGTCTATCCAAAAGATTACGCAACTGCCACCCATTCATACTATGCGCGCTTTTGGAACCGCTTAGTCTTGACAATCCCCACTTTCAAGCCGCGGCGACTCATTGAACCGGTTGTCACACTATTTTGCAATTATGCTAGAGGTCATCCGGCCTCGGTCTGTAAACTGCGCGTTCGTCGCCATGTAGCCGCGCAATCCTTTGCTTGGGAATCTCAGTGAAGGGTAACTTAGCTTCGATCAAATAGGGTGCGTTTCTCAGTGCTATTCGTCCGTGATTCGTTGCACCGAGCGTGCGTCCGCATTAGCGGCGCACTTCGCTTCTGTATTCGCAACTAACCAAACCTGCGCGCCAAGCTCTGCCGTCGCCGCACCGACTGAGCTAACCGACTTGATCTGCGACGTCGCGGAGGTACATGGGCTAGTCAGCTGCCTAGACAGCACGAAGCCAGCTGGACCGGATGGTCTCCATCCGCTGATCCTCAAGTCCTTGTCAGCTGTGATCTCACCTGCTGTAACCGACCTGTTCAACCGATCCCTGTCCATAGGCTGCGTGCCTTGTGACTGGAAATGCGCCGTTGTCAAACCGATTCCAAAAGGCGGTGACACACGCAAAGTGGAGAATTACCGCCCTATTTGTTTGACCGCAGTATTGTCGAAAGTTCTGCAGAAGATTGTGAAGAAGAGACTGCTCCAGCTACTGGAGACCAACTCTCTCCTGACGCCTGCACAGCATGGTTTCGTGAGAGGCCGCTCGTGCATCACTAACCTGCTGCTAACATGGCATGAATGGTTGCAAGCAGTAAACCAACGTAAGTCAGTCGACGTGGTATACGTCGATTTCAGTAAGGCCTTCGACAGAGTGAATCACGAGATCCTCCTTCAGAAACTGAGGGAGTCGGAGGCTCGCTGCACCAATGGATCCGTGACTTCTTAGTGGGACGGAAGTGGAGGGTGCAAGTCGACAGCCACCTGACTGACTGGTACCTGTCGACGAGCGGCGTTCCTCAGGGGACGGTGCTTGGCCCCCATTCTCTTCCTGATTCACATCAACGACGTGCCCAATCTCCTTCGGTCGCCGTGTGCCTTGTTCGCGGATGACCTGAAACTATGGAGGGTGATCCATACGTCGGACGACTTTGACATACTTCAGCAGGACCTCGACCGCCTCTCCATGTGGTCCGCCGAAGTAAGTTTGCCTATCAACTCGGCAAAATCGCTACTTCTGTGCCTCGGTAAAGGTGGAGCGGGCCGATCGTACACTCTCGACGGCCAAGTTCTACACCCGACGCATTGCGTCAGAGACCTTGGCGTTATACAACGTTACGACATGAAGTCACTGGACAACACAGACAATATGTATCGCACAGCATTGCGTTCACTGTGGGCGCTGAAACGTAGCTTCTGCACCTGGTCGAAAGAGATTGCCACTCGTCTCTTCACATCCATTGTACGACCGGTGCTAAAATACGGCTCACCCGCCTACTGTGCGTTGACGAAAGGCGAGATACACAAGCTCGAAAGAGTACAACACATAGCCACACGGCTCATTCCCGGTCTTCAGGGTGTGCCGTATGAAGAAAGATGCAGACAATTGGGTCTGTGTACTCTAGCCTACCGCCGCGTGCGAGTGGACCTCCTCATGACCCATCGGGTATTGCATCTGGGTGCTTATCCGATGCTGAGGCCACTGCTCCATGTCCGTGCGTCAAGCAGCACACGAGGTCACCAGTACAAACTGGTAGTCCCTGACCTCAAGGGGGTAGCTCATCCCTTGTGTCTTGAGCGGCGAGTGATTAACATGTGGAACCGTTTGCCCTCGCGGATAGTAGAAGCGAACTCGGTGTCGGAATTCAAACGATTCCTGGACGCGCACTTTGCGGATGCCAGATTCGACGAAGCCTTCACAGGAAACTGACGAAGGAATCGTTCAATGATTATAACCCATGGAGCCCGTTAATCCACCAACTGCAGCTTCCGAAACGATGCCCATCCGTAATAGGCGGCGGAGCTGGTGAAGGACTCCATGTGGTTCATCAAAGAATATATCGTAAGTACATGGAGATTTTTTCTATGCTTGTAAATATTTTTTTCACCTGGGCTAGCTCACTACTACAGGTAACACTGTGTCAGTGGGACATGTCCTACATTGAGATATAGCTACATAGATGTTCAACATCTTTCTCGCTATCATGACAGTAAAGTAAAGTAAAGCAAGTTGATCACTCTGATGTCTGTTTCTTCTCTGTGAGTGCTTGCCAACTTTTCCTCTTCTGGTTGCCATATTGGTTAAGGAACTGGCTTCATATGGGGTCAACAGGTCTGTCGCAATTTATTTTGTCCTTTACTTAGCAGTGTAATTGACCGCGAATGATTCGTACCTAATTATCCCAAAATGGTTCTATCAGATGGTGGGCTAATGAAACTTGGTAAACTATCTTGCTGTTTTCTGGCCTGGCTCAGCTAAACTGCAAGTGCTGTTGGAAACGCCGCGTGCTCAGTCACACCTTGCTGGCTACGTTCTTTTTCCCTGTCTCATCATTGGGTTGCAGCCGGAAGAATATCCTTCGCTTCGCGCTGCCTGCAGGTATTATGCGAGCCCTTGCGGCACAGCGCCTGTCACCTTGACAGTTTCCCGCTTAAGAATACGGCTGGCCCTGGGTGTACTAGTTTCTCCGCATTTAAGCGCAGCCCAAGTTCATGTGGGGCTAGAACTATAGGAGTAACCCGTGAGTGTTCCATCTTGGGTGGATCGTTGAGCCGGGAATCGATGAAGTGATCAGTTATTGCTGGATCCAAAACAGTTCACCTGATCGCACCCTGTCCAACCGGTTAATGCCCACGTTTCCTGCCCTAGCAGTCCCTGCTGTGGCAGTCACGTGAAGTAAGCAATGGATAGGTAGAGAAGTCGAAGGTAAAGGGTAAGGAAGTGCACTTGAAATAAGAAAATAATACCAATGCGCGACGATAAGTAGAGAAAGGAAAATCGAAGTACGAGGATGCGAGTTTCTCAGAAAAATGGGAAGGTTTCGTGTTGCAGCCCATGCACGGCAAGTTGTCGCTCGAACCCCTTAACGATAGATTCCCTGATAACACTTTCCGGAGGCATGTTCCAACGCTCGGTGACTGCTTGACGGCCGGATTTCCGCTCTAATCCGATCGGACCGCGGTTTGTCCAGCTTCAAGGAAAGACCGCGTAGAACACACTTTAGCGGGACTGAATAACCCAGATAAATCTGGACCAACCTTCTCAGTTAAGATACGATGCGTTAGGATTAGGTCTCCTCTAAGCCTTCGGTAGTGCATTTACTTTACTTTACTGTCATGATAGCGAGAAAGATGTTGAACATCTATGTAGCTATATCTCAATGTAGGACATGTCCCACTGACACAGTGTTACCTGTAGTAGTGAGCTAGCCCAGGTGAAAAAAATATTTACAAGCATAGAAAAAATCTCCATGTACTTACGATATATTCTTTGATGAACCACATGGAGTCCTTCACCAGCTCCGCCGCCTATTACGGATGGGCATCGTTTCGGAAGCTGCAGTTGGTGGATTAACGGGCTCCATGGGTTATAATCATTGAACGATTCCTTCGTCAGTTTCCTGTGAAGGCTTCGTCGAATCTGGCATCCGCAAAGTGCGCGTCCAGGAATCGTTTGAATTCCGACACCGAGTTCGCTTCTACTATCCGCGAGGGCAAACGGTTCCACATGTTAATCACTCGCCGCTCAAGACACAAGGGATGAGCTACCCACTTGAGGTCAGGGACTACCAGTTTGTACTGGTGACCTCGTGTGCTGCTTGACGCACGGACATGGAGCAGTGGCCTCAGCATCGGATAAGCACCCAGATGCAATACCCGATGGGTCATGAGGAGGTCCACTCGCACGCGGCGGTAGGCTAGAGTATACAGACCCAATTGTCTGCATCTTTCTTCCTACGGCACACCCTGAAGACCGGGAATGAGCCGTGTGGCTATGTGTTGTACTCTTTCGAGCTTGTGTATCTCGCCTTTCGTCAACGCACAGTAGGCGGGTGAGCCGTATTTTAGCACCGGTCGTACAATGGATGTGAAGAGACGAGTGGCAATCTCTTTCGACCAGGTGCAGAAGCTACGTTTCAGCGCCCACAGTGAACGCAATGCTGTGCGATACATATTGTCTGTGTTGTCCAGTGACTTCATGTCGTAACGTTGTATAACGCCAAGGTCTCTGACGCAATGCGTCGGGTGTAGAACTTGGCCGTCGAGAGTGTACGATCGGCCCGCTCCACCTTTACCGAGGCACAGAAGTAGCGATTTTGCCGAGTTGATAGGCAAACTTACTTCGGCGGACCACATGGAGAGGCGGTCGAGGTCCTGCTGAAGTATGTCAAAGTCGTCCGATGTATGGATCACCCTCCATAGCTTCAGGTCATCCGCGAACAAGGCACACGGCGACCGAAGGAGATTGGGCACGTCGTTGATGTGAATCAGGAAGAGAATGGGGCCAAGCACCGTCCCCTGTGGAACGCCGCTCGTCGACGGGTACCAGTCAGTCAGGTGGCTGTCGACTTGCACCCTCCACTTCCGTCCAACTAAGAAGTCACGGATCCATTGGTGCAGCGAGCCTCCGACTCCGCACTCCCTCAGTTTCTGAGGGAGGATCTCGTGATTCACTCTGTCGAAGGCCTTACTGAAATCGACGTATAC